AGCGTTTGTGAGTGCGCTCGCTTGCAGGACGAGATGCAGTTCCTTTCAGGGCCCAGGCTAGACAGACATCTTGACCGCCGTGCTGAGGGATGGTGATGTCATGTCCGCGGTCATCTCCCCAATGGACGATGACCTGCGGACTGGAATCGTTTGAGAAGGTCGTTGTCCCGTGAGCGTTGGTGACACCGTGGCTCCGGCCTTCTGTTGATGATTTCCGGCAGGTTTGTCAATAGTCAGGGGGGAGGGCGAGAGGTTTGATGAGGGAGTACCAGTAAGGCGGGAGAGTGGCTAGACTGAGGCCCGATGAGATTGACGTGTCCCAAAGTGTCGTGAAGTTTGGAGCACAGCCGTACGGTCGGTTACAGCCAACTTGACCCAGCAAAGTAGTCCTGTTGTATGTCATAGAGGAGCGGCCAATGATGTCCATACCTAGACTGGGTTTGTCGGCGTAGTTTCGGGCAATGGTGTATAGGCTGGGACCAAGTCTTCGGACTACGCTTCGGACGTTCACGGAGATCGCGTGCTAACACCATGAAAGACATCCACTAGGATTGAGAGCCGTAGAGTTTTTCTTCGCGGTACGAGGATCTACTGGAAACTTCAGTCCGTCGTGGAGAGAGTGTCTGCGTCCTGCAGAGTGATGGAGTGTCCTCGCCGACGAGGGTTGCCTTGGAGGCTAAGTCCATCCAGCCTTGGACTCTTCGTGTCCTTGACATATGACAGAGAAAGGAGAGAGACCAACCCCGAGGACCTGTCCAGAGGAAGAAATCCCGTACTTTCGAAAGACCTTGTCGAGGATGTGACCAGTGGCCAAGGGTTGTTTCTTGTTCGATGCCAAGCGGGGAAGCACCGGTGCGTATGTCAAGATGACATTGAAGGGTGCTGTAGTCGCTACCTTTCGAGCAATCGCCAGGAGACGATGGATCTCAGGTAGGTCGTCGTCAGAGGCCACGTGCAGAGGTTGTGGATGCGAGTGCCAGATTTACTCCGTATTTGGACGTGAAGGTTTTGTCCTCGAGTGCGCTCGACGTTCAGTTGTTCACGGTTGACTTGTTGAGTGTGTCTTGGATACCGGCCACTCCCGCGTTGAAAGTGTCGTTTGTTAGTCCAGGTCCGGTGGCGCCTAGGGCAGTGAGCAACGGACGATTGACTGAGTTTGGGCATCGTTGGAGAGCCATGACGTTGGCAGGGAGACCAGAGTATTCCCCGGTGATGCGTAGGAGGGGAGCCGCCAGCATCGCTGGTGCAAACAGCGCGAAACATTGGACGAGAGGGAGATGGCATTTTGACGGGCGACTTCAGCATGAGTGTCTCGGGAGCAAGGATGAGGTTTCGGAACTGGACGATGGAGTAGCGACCGGTGGGTACTTGAGTAAGGGCAGCGAGGTCAGGTAGTGAGGAAGGGGCATGACGCGACGGATGGTAGGTGTCAACGTCCGCTTCGCCCGGTCCATGGGGACCGGAGTGAAGGGTAGGAGGGTCGTTCTCCTAACATGTCGGGACCATCCAATAGGGCCAGTGTCTTGCAGCGTGTCTCGGCGACACGTTGGAAACTGTTGTTTGGAAGTATCACGGGGCGACACTGTGAAGGTCGTTTCCGGTGAGCACAACAGCGAGGTTGTCGTAAGGAGAGGCGCGTTCGAAGTCAGCGGGGTATGTGAACAAAGAATGCCCGACATGGATGTAGTCTTCATCACCGGTGAGACGAAAGCGACGAGAAGAGGAGACCGGTGAGAGCAGAGCACAAGGTGAGTTTGAGTGACGTTACTGTTCGTGTCAACGTTACCACCGACACGGGTCAGAAGAGCGGCATAGTCAAACTCGGGTGCGTCCCAGTGATTTCCGCGGTCACGAGAGTAGAGAATAAAGCGGCGGCCATGGTCGAGGATTTCGAAGAGATTGAGACCTGATGCCAGCGCAAGAGGTTAATCTATTCTAGTTCTTGCTAGCAGCTCGGCTGAAGGAAGAATTGTGATAGAGAAGGAGACAACCTTCTTGCAATTGACTGTGCAATGGCTGAAAGAGAAGTTGGACCGGTCTTGATGTTGTGTTCATTCAAGGTTGCTATCTGTGAGCGGTCTTCGAGGGTGCTATTGCCTTAGACGGTCTTGCGAAGAGGCAGACATAGCGACATGTATGTGGGGTATCCATTTCAGGAACGCAGGTGATGACCTGAGAGATGTAGAGATGTACTTGATGGTAGGGCGAGTGTGGGAATCGATTTCGTGTTTTGGTGAGATGGTACAGTTTGGCAACTGTGAGTCGAGTCATTCGTCGAAGAACCCATGAGGGTTCAGGTTTCCACGCCAGGCAGCGTGGACAGATAGGGATCAGGATCGTTGTCCTCTTTTGCGTGCGGCTGCTCGACAAGAAACGGGAAAGCGCCGGCGACCTTCAGCACCAACGACGGCCGTGGATACAGGTATGTAGTTGGGGTAAATTAGAGCTGATTAATAAGTCAGCGGGAGCTGCGATACCAGTTACATCGGCGACAGTGGCAACAGTACCGAATACACTCAGGTTCGGCTTTGCTCGCTACACTCCGGTACAAGTACCTCATATTGGATCCTTATGACGAATACATGCACAACCGAAGATTGTCAATCCTATTGATCTATAAGAAGTCTATCTAATGAAAGGAGTGGTCTATTGGTCGGTAATCGATGATCTATTATCTTACGAGTTATCTATCTATCTTTATCGTACGAAAAAAGCAAGTTGTTCGCCCGAGGACTTGCGCATACAGGAAAGTGGGTACCGACACAGGAATCACCACCATAACACTAGGAAATAACACTGGAGGGATGAATCCAGTAGTAGGATCCACTCTCCTCTGTGCGTTTCGAGTTGTCGTGTAGCCTCCTCCTCTTGTTGCCTTTTCAATGACTCGAGGACGATTTCCTCCGTTTATGCTGTTGGTAGGGCTGGAGTTAACAGAGCCTCCTCGGTAGCGGTAGCCTCTCCTCTTGTTATCCGGAGTGATCGATCGTCGACAATGGTAGTTCATCGGCCGTCAGCAGTGCAGCAGAGAAAACAACAAATATATATGAGTTTTGTTTTCTGTGCTCAACTGCAGACGACCGGAGACTTACCATTGTTTTTCAAATTGCACTAACTTGGCCGTCATGGGCCGAGAACTGACTGCTATCCCAAGGTCCATAGGATTGAATGAGGGATGGTTTTCGACTCTGCACCAGAGAAGGACGGCTTGAGTGAGGCTTGGATAATAGAGGTGCGATCGATCGATTCGATTCGAATAATTAAAACAACTCACCTGTTGACGGCCGAGCTTGGAATTCTCTCCTAAATACCATAGAAATCCAATGAGGGAGAGAAGTCAGTGCTGCTCATTGCGATCGATCGATCGATCGATCGGCCGATTGGATAAAGAACTCCTCCTACCGGTATATACCACTCTTGTCGGCCAAGCTTGGATTTCTTTCCTGTTTACCATACGGATTCAATGAGGGAGAGAAGTCAGTGCTGCACCTTCAACAATGGATTTGGCTGGACATGTACCGGTACCGGTACGTGCGCATGCGATTGAATATGTTTAACCTTAACCTTAGAACCTTCAACGGTTCTTTTTATCCACGAATCGATCTAAATGTATGTGTACAGACCTGAAAAAACGTTAAGTACAGGTTTGGTACTTACGGATACACATGACCGTTGATTCTGCAACTGAAGTGCGGGTACACTAATTTACACAGTAAACGCGAGCCAATCGATTTCAGAGTGCAACTGAGGGGGTAACCAAAAGGTGCGTCGTCTCATGGAGACGAAATAGGAAATAGGATATAGGAAATAGGAAATAGGAAATAGGAAATAGGAAATAGCATTAAAGGGGTTGAGAACTCAGGCAGTTTACCTGCCGAGGTAAAAAATGATAATCATTGCAACATGTATTGGAGGCATGCAAGAAACGATCAGATGATGCATTTGACAAGCGCTGCAACCAGCTAATCGCATTCAAGAAGGGAAACGGATATGGCCATTGCCGCGTTCCACAGAGATACAACAAGATTCCTGGTTTGGGAGATTGGATTAAGAGGATGCGTCTTGCCTACCGCAGAGGAACATTGAGTGACACAAGAGTCCAGCGCCTTGAAAAGATTGGTATGGGATGGCAAGTTAGGGAGAGCAAACGAAAGGATTCAGACGGGGTTGCTCAAGGCCATGACGTTTCTGAGTGACCTGCTGGGAATGTGCAGTTGGCAATACTAATAAGGATGTTTTCCTATGCTCATGCTGCAATGCAGCGAGGTACTGAAGGGCGGAATGTCCAAGGAAGAGCTGGAAAGAAGGAAATAACACCAGGTGCAAATTGTTGAAGAAGCAATTATATAAAGTACTGCAAATTGAATGAAAAGACCTTTGCAAAGCCTTGCATGCAGGATCCATATCATCTTCAGCAACGATTACACCGGTATTCCTGAGCCACTAAATAAGCGTAACTTCAAAATTCAAAGCTACTTATTTAATGATTCCTGCAGCACATTCCTTGCATATTTCGATCGAAATATCCCTTGAATGATCATGTGGCGCCAGTTGCAGAGATCGCCGTTTGGCTTCTTGTGTCCGTCTATCTGTCCACTTTTTGTAACAGCCCTTCAGTAGAGTTCATACTGTAGATTGAATACAAGCTAGCAAGCATACTTGATTCGCTCCATGCCATCACTGGGCAGCGCGTACCAGGATTGTTTCCAGATGCAACAAATGTGACAAACTCGTTCCAAATACAGGTTCATATCTTCTGTAGTCGATGGTAACGATGCATCGTCCAATCCTCCCGCGGCCGGCCACGTACAATCTGGCTGTTCGTCGTAGACAATGGTCAAGCAGCTTCCACACGTGGTACAAAAATGCCGTTTCCCATGCTCCGTGGTTCGTTTTAGTATCGGCCCTTCATTTGTTGTTGTGTTCCAGACGATATCTTCGTTCATGACGGGGATCCAACTTTGATAGGCCGAGCCACACAGCTGCCGACAGAGTTTGCAGTAGCAATGTTGCATTTCATAGGGGACATGATGAATTTGGTACTGGCACTTGCCACAAGAACAACTTCCCGTCGATGTCGTTAATAGTGGGGGCATTTGGTTGCCTCGTCTTTTCCTTGGTTTGGCGTTTGTCCAGGTAGCTTCCGAGGATGGTTGCCAAACGGTGCGTTCGTGACTCCATGCTTTTTGGTATGCCTTGGGGATGGTCTTGTCGACCAGTCCGCCCATGTTGACGAGCATGGTTGCAGGACTATTGTCTGATTCTGCAGATTGTGGTTTGGTGGCTACTTTGGTGTAGCAGTGCCGACAAAAGAGACGTTCGACAGGGCCCACTTCGTGACAGGTTTCCGTATAACTTTGCAAGTCTTCCACGTTTCCCAACTGAACAGATTCGGCCGGTACCTTTAGGTAGCTGCCGAAGGCTGCCACATGAAACTTGCGACAGGCAGGGCAATGGCAATCCACTGCCGTGACGGAACCATCCTCTTGCTGAGAGGGTATCTGGACTCGTACAGACACTTTGCCACACGCACAGTTGGAGACGACCGTGGCTGGTTCGTCGTCTTGAGACTTGGAGGTCTTCATGCTGTTGGGTGATTTGGAGGAAGAGCCAGAGGTTGCCCCTACCAAAACAAAGGAATACGTAGAAGAAGTCTTGCTCCAAGCGATCAATCCCAGAAAAAGCCAACAGGAGCGAAGACAGCTGGAATAATGAGGCATGGAATCGTGGGGAACGGTACCGTGGCACACGACGGACCAACTGAATGGCTGGATCGTGAGTTGCTTACAAGTTGATACTAAGGAGCGCAGTCGAGTCTTGAAGCTCTCCTTTTCCCTTCCTTTTGGAGCAACCTCCAATTACTCCTTCGGCTCAACCAAACAGCGACAACAGCAAGTTCGTGTGGGAGGGTTGTGTCGTTGTGTCGTTGGCCGTTGGAAGGATATGGTTCGTGACTCCAATTGGCATCATAATTCGTCATTCATAAGGCTAAGGCTCAAATCAATGGGTATCTTTTCAAAGATCTTCCCGATGACCTTCCTCACATTTTGCATCCAAACAACCTGTCTTTGGTTTTGAGATAACTCCATGCCCCAAGGCAGTAAGTCCACCCCAGGGAAGCCAAAAAAGTTTGGTGACTATTTGCTCTTGAGGTGGACGCATCGATTCGACTCACTGCTGCTAATTCTACCAAGGGAACGAAAGCACGCAACTCATCGATCAAGGCAAGCCATTGAAGGATTGATGGATCATTGCTCGTAGAAATCGGAACAACGAGACGATGACAAGAACCATGGATGAATCTGCCAGTCCTTCCAGTCGACAAAGTCGGTACTTGGCCATCTTGGCACCACTGGTGGGAGCCTTGGTAGTCTTGGCCATGGCTACCGTGTCGATGGACCGCCCTGACCAAGTCTCGGAATGGACAGTCGGTACCTTTCTACCAGAGTTCATGCATCGCCGATTGCATCATCCACACGGTGAAATTGCCAAGTATTTTGCCTGCACTCGCGTGTTGGCATCCAGCGATCACGACTACGACAATGCCTTGAATTTGGAAGAGTACAAGTCATTCATGAACACCTACGCCGACGAGCATTGGTCGCAACAAGTGGGAGAGGATCTTCCCACCGAGCTCAAGGAAATCTTTAATAAGTATGCCAAGGCGACGGAAGGAAAGAGTACGGACATTATTGATATCTACGGATCGCGGAATGGAGAGCGAGACGGAATCTCTGCCCATCAAGAAGATCTCTTGGAAGGACTCTGCAATGCGACCGATGTCACCTTGGGAGAGATGTTCAAATCAGAGCACGAGACTTTGGGAGTTACCGTCACGGATGTATCGGAGGTTCGCGAGGTAGGAGGTGTGAGTATGATCGATCGTTTTACAAGATGAGATACGAAACGTTGAAGGATTCTCTCACGCGGAAGCTTTGTATTGACTCTTTGTCTCTCTCACTGGCGTGCTGGCTCTAATAAACAACTTTCAGGGAACTGCCAAGGGAGGTGTGCAAAGACTCGCCGTCAATGCGTCGTTCACCATGACTCTGCCGGAGGGTATGTCGCTTCAAGACTTGTTGGACAGTCTTGAAAGCGGAGAGGATCCGGGTCATCTGCGACATGCCTTCAAGTCCTTTGTCACGGGCGTGGTCGGCCACATTGGTGGTACCATTGAAGAAGGTGGAGGAGATAGCGACGGAAACTCCACTGTGGATGACGCCACTCTCGACTTCGATGACAATACCACTCGTCGTGAACTGGAGAGGTTCGGTGCCGGTGGAATCCGAGGTGGGCTCCTCATTGCCTTTGATGCAACCGAAGAGGACAATCCAGCTCGGTTCCGCCGCCTTAACATCGGCTTTGACCCCAACAGTGCCGAGATATACAACTACGTGGAATCACTTTGCCCTGGACAGAATGCTTCGTCCCTCGTGGATAGCATCAAGGGCACCCTTGGTGGAATCTTTGGTGGAAATGGTACCAACAGCACAGATCTCGAAGACGTGGTAGAAAAGTCATGTGTCACAGCCATGGGCAAGTACAAGATTGACGTCGACGAGGCTGAAGAACGAAGCGAAGGTGGCTTGACTGCCATTTACCAAAAGGCTTCGGATGCCACCAAAGAGGCCATTGACAGTGGTGCTCTGGAAACAGAGTTGGAGAAGGAACCCGATGGCGACTTGTTCCATGTGGAGGGACATGGTGTGGTGGAAGACGATTCATTTGATCCTTTCGTGGAGGTAACACTCCAAGAAGAAGAGCACGAAAAGTCCATGCGCACGGTGGACATCATTTTGATATCGGTCGGATCAGCAATCATCTTGTGCCTTTGCTGTGTTTTATGTTTTGTTGAGTTGGAGCGAAAGACGAGGCCCCGCGCAGCCCGCGGGTAACGTTCGTGCTGCCCTTGAAGGACCCAGAATTGTTCGAGTTTGATTGATTCGCTCATGACTACAGAAGAAGCGGCGCTTGTAACAAGCATCTTTAAAATTTACATAAATACCGAGTATTCCATTGATTTAGTGTTCGAAGTGGCTTCTGGTGGGAGTAGCGGTTTGGTGCAAGGTGCAAGGTGCAAGGTACAAGTTGTGGTCATTGCGGCATGGCACCAGTTCCTGTGGCCTCGCGAAGCTTCGTCGAAATGCGCTCTATAGCTAGCAGCGCAATGTCCGCCAACTGGACATTGGGGGGGGGGGGCGCCTCAGTGTAGGAGAAAGGTTCATCCTTCGTGATGAACCAACTCCCGGGGTCTCTCATCATGATCTGGTTCTACTTTGAAGCCAACAAGCAGCTGACCCGCACGACGGTCTCGACAGGCAACAGTGCAGTGTTGATTCTGCTGTGAACTGGAGGCCCTTGAATCTCAATCCAGGCAGACGATCTCAAGCAAGCAGCTGAAGATCTGGACTCATTAGTTTTGGAGGAGGACCCTGGCCTTGAGGAAGATGCAACTTTTCCAAGGCAACTCCTCCAGACCAACACTACAGTACAGTTTTTTGTGCCCGTGGCTGGAGCTGGAGCTTCAAGGTATCGGTGGAAGTTGGCTGTGTATTCGGTTGCCCACCCGCTGCGGTGGAAGAGTGTGTTCGTTTATGTTTGGTTATCATTTGAACGTGCGTGCGCTAGCCGATTAGCTACATAGCTAGCAGCACGGCTACTGTTAAAGAGGGCGCACAAGGCGCGTAGTGGGTAGTAACTTTGGCTGGTGGCTCGGGTAGCAGGATTTGCTTGCAACCAACACATTACGGCACGACTGTACCTTTGGGGATCGTCATTGGAAGCAATTCACGAGGGCGGGAATGTTCTTTCCATCCTACCAGGTACCGTGCCGTATTAGTTAGAAGCTGCTTACTAGCTTATTAGGATGATAGCAAGATCTTGGGAATCCCGAAGAAGTGCGGGCTGTAAAGAAAACTAGATTGTAGCCCCAACGGCGAGTCACCGACTGGTGCTCCCACCCACTCTCATGATGACCGCTCGCCAACTGGCGCCTCATCTCCTTTGGCCGTGATGCGTTCACCACCTGGTGTTTCTGCTAGCCACACTGCCATGATGAGTTCACCGCCTGGTGTTTCTCTAGCCACCCTTGCTATGATGAGTCGTTCACCAACTGGTGCTTCTCTAGCCCCGCCAACTGGCATCTTGAGCGACACCAACTGGTGCTTCGACTCCCCTCTTGAGCGACACCAACTGGTGCTTCACTCCCCTCTTGAGCGACATCGACTGGTGCTTCGCTCCCCTCCTCGGCCAACTGGCCCTGGAGTGTATCCTCTCCTCCTGGCGTTGTTGCCATGCAACTGGTGCTTCGTCTCTCCTCCTCTGGAGTTCACCACCTGGTGCTCCCACCATTGCACCAACTGGTGAACCGCTGTCTAAGTCTTTGGTTACCCCCTTTAAGTTTTCGCTCCGACCCTTAAGTCTTTCAACCAACCAATGATTGAGGCTGTCAATTCCCTTTGGTGTGGCCCTGTTGCCTCCGTCTTTGAACGGTGGTGGTGGTGGCCCTTAGTGCCGCTGATTGATTGCCATGGTCGCCCTTTGCGCCTGGCTCCTCCTCCAAGAGTGTAAACTGGCTACTTTTTGTCAATCCGGTGGCCTAACTTTTACATTTCAGTCTTCATTCCCTCGTACTGTATGTTTGCTCGCACCTTTTTGCGCGCCTCTTTCTTTCGTGGGTTTACACCTAGAGTAAAGGTGGTTTACAGTCCCGCTGTATACCACTCTGGGTGTCCGCTAACTCAGTTGACATGGGGCTTTCGGCATCGTGTCTGCGACACGCTGTTCGTCAGCACATGGGCTCTTCTCAGTTCAATGTTGGGTTCCAACGGTTTTGGATTGGTGCACTGGTGCACTGGATATCACCGTTGTCCCCCAAGGCTAGCACTATCGTTTCGACACTACATACTCTAGGTGTATTTGGTCGTACCAAAATAGTCCTAGTGAACTGCCCATGCCAACCAGATTGCGGACAGCTGAGGCGGTCGCTGGGAGTCGAGGAAGACTCCTATAGCCATGACTCTAAGCGGAGCAATGTGGTAGCACACATGCTCCAATTAGACTGGCTGCCACTGCAGATAGTGCTAGGAGCCACTCATTGCTCTGAGCAGCCACCAAAGGAAGAGGACCATGTCGTCCTTTTTTTTAGGGGCTTCTCAGTTCAATGTTGGGTTCCAACGGTTTTGGATTGGTGCACTGGTGCACTGGATATCACCGTTGTCCCCCAAGGCTAGCACTATCGTTTCGACACTACATACTCTAGGTGTATTTGGTCGTACCTAAATAGTCCTAGTGAACTGCCCATGCCAACCAGATTGCGGACAGCTGAGGCGGTGGCTGGGAGTCGAGGAAGACTCGGTCCTCGGTACCGGTGGTACATGTACGGTGTCGAAGATGGCTACGGTACTAGTAATGGTGAAGAGAGCCGCATCTTTTTTGCGGGGCTGCGTACTGCGTACCAGTAGGTTTTGCGGAAGTAATGCTGGAGCATATTGAGAATGGCATTTCACTAAGTAAGACTGCCCTTCTATGGAGAATGCGCCGTAAGCCTTTGAAGGTTGCGAACAGAAGTTTAAGGTAAGGTACTTAATGTTCCACAGTTCTGAAATGGCATTCTATTCATAGTCTTGTTTCATTAAATATCAAAGATTGACTAAATGACAACAATACTTTAACTGACAATTCCAGTGAAATCCAGCGAAGGATTTTCGCCAATCACAAAAGAGAACAAGCAAGTGGTTGAGACGACTGGACATTGCATGCAGAGCAGCAGGCCTAAAAAATTTCATCAACTCGAACGCAGCATCCATCCAGTCTACCAATCAACTCAATAGCACTCTTACGCTGGTTTTGACTGCAGAAGCCGTGTGTGGTTGAGTCCATTATTAGCGGGTGCTGGAACCAGCACCAAGCTTGTTTCCTTCCAAGCAAGTTTGATCAGGTCAAACTTGTGGTTGTTGGTGTGTTACCTTGTGTCCAAAAGATTGCCCCTTCACTTATTGACAACCAAAGAACCCGCTCACCATGATGGCTGTAGTATCACCTCACGACAACCTGGCGCTGTCTCCACTGATAGATCCCATCAGCAGCACTGCCGAACGACGTCGCCCCGTTCCCTTTGCTCTTCCAAAGAAACTGGGCAGCGACCGGTTGTTGTTGGTCTCCCAAGCACTCCACGAAACTCCAACGTACAAATCCATCAGTCCCGAACTCCAGAAACAACGCAAATCGCTCCGCCCACTCGATTGGAGCAGTCATAGTCAAGCAAAACGCGTTCACTTTCGCGCTGTCGATCAAATCCACGAGTACGAAAAAGACTACACAGTGTCAGATTACCCCGATCTGTGGTTCTCCGACACCGAATTTGCCGCCATTTTCGATCGCGACGATGACGATTACACCGTCTGCTACGCCGCCATGGATCATACCAAGCAAATCCTTCAATTGTGGGGCATGTGTTCGCGGGCCGCCAGTCAACGATGGACGTGTATGAATACCAGTAGCAACCAGATCTCCATTGAGGCGGATGAGGATGATGAATTGCCACACGGCACGGTCAGTGCCGTCGACACGCTGTTCCAACAAGCGCCGCATCCGCACGCGAGAGGATTGGAACATCGCATCATTACGGGAATTCGCAATCATCGTCAAAAAGCCGTACAGAGTTTTTTACAGCATGCGGCAGCCTGCAAGGATGCTGATGATAATCAAGACGAAAAGACAATTATTTGTCCGCGCTATCTCAAATTTTCACAAACGGCGGGACAGTTTGCCCGGGCTTTGGCAGAAGGGGATGCCCGTGTGGCGCACACAATTCAACAAGAAGAAGAAGAGGGAAATGAGGAATGAAATTCTACTATGCTAGCTACATACCAGCGAGCTATCACAAGTACACATGTACTACATAACTGCACATAAATTTTGCATTTTTCCAATGGCATACAAGTATAGTAGGAACCGGTCTGTAGCTAGTAGACTTGTAGCAAATATGTGTGACTAGCATATATTCTAGCGGGAGGGAGTTGGGCTGGAGTGGATCCAAACTAATGCAGGAAAAGTTTCCACCCCCCACCGGTTTCTGTGGATGTCATGCTTGCCTCCAAGCTAAAGTTTTTTTCCAATCCCTTGGTGCCGTCAACACCGGCAACACTCAATATCCCCATTCCCAAATGATGTTCTATGTCAAGACATGCCCTCTCAATTGTCCCAGTTAAAGCCACTCATCTTTGTCTTTGTGAATCCCACAAACCCAAAGCCTTTGGCCCCATGTTGGTCCCCAGTTTGTTGCCCCCGATCCCCCGGACCGTAGTCCTGAATTTTGCCTCTTCTTTTCCAAAACCTGCCCTCCGCAGCTTCTGTGGATAACTACCCCATGGCATACTAGCTAGCTAGACGAACTCTCGCTAGCTACGGTAGCTAGCTAGCTAGCTAGCTAGCTAGCAGCTGGCTAGCTAGAGACCCCCCATTTTGTGCTTCGGAGTTCTGAATCGAATCGTTTCGGACTTTCCGAAGCGAAGCACGACACGATTGGCCGAAATTCTGCAAATGACAAGACTGTACTCAAACCGACCCGAGCATTTGGCGACAGTGGCAACCTTCCTTGCTTGCCCATTCAACCAAACTCAACTTGTGCGGTATCACATTCAACAAAACACACACAGACAGACAGCCACACCATGTCCAGCGCAACTCAAACTACTACAGCCGACAAGAGCGCCTTTGATTTGCGCCAAGAAGAATACTTGGCGGCGCGACGAGCCGGTGCCGAAGCGATCGAAGTTGGAAGGGAAACCTTGGAGACAGTGTCGCGACAGGGCGAACAATTGCACCATGCCGAACAAATGGCGGATGAAACGGGCTACAAGCTCGACAAGGCCGGTCGAATTTTGCGGGGAATGACGTGGAGTGGATGGGTCGCCAATATATTTTCCACAGACGTCAAGCGACAACAAGACGGTACTGCACAACAGCAACAAGGCAATGACACGTTGGTGCCGTCGGTCTACGAGGACGCTCCTCCCGTGTGTCGGGATGCTGCACAAGCCGTGCAGAATTATAATGCCAATTTAAAAGTCTTGACGACGTGTGAAACGGACGAACAACTGGAGACATGTCATTTGATTTGTGAAAATATGTATCGTGTGGCCTTGACCGAAATCAACAAATTACTCAGTACTACTACTACTAGTGAGGCCATGGATATGGATGAGACGTCTCGGGTGTTTGTCCAAAAATTACAAAAAGACTTGACCAATCTACGATCGCGCCAACAAATCAAAAAGCGATACTACGAACGACAAAAAAAGGAAGCTCAAGCTTACGCGCAATCCCGAGAAACACTCCAGCTCGGCGACACTACTGCTGAACAGAACAACAACAACAAACCACGAAATGACGTGACGAAAGAATTGGTCGTTGCCACGGACGATCCACAAGCACAAAAATTGTTGGACTTGCAGAATCAACATCTCGCCGGTATAAGCCAACATTTGGATGAATTGGGCAATCTCGCCCTCAATTTGGGAGAAGCCACGGAAAAACAAGCCGCCATGGTGGAAATACTCGACACCAAATCCGACACCATTCTCGACAAATCACGCATGGTCACACGACGAGCCGATCGGATGATTCAACAAAAGGTAAGCAAGAAAAAAGTACCGTAGATAGATAGAAACAACAGAGCAAACAAGGGAATACCCTGTTTTCTTACCATTTCCGTTTCTTTCTTGCACAGGCATGGACTCCCGCCAAACCAACCTTTCAGAGTACCATCACCATTCAACACGTGCCCACACAAAAATACTTGGCCATTGCCAATGGATATTTGGTGCTCAGATCCCACCTGGATACCTCGGAATCGTGCATCTTTGAAGTATGGAAACGACAAGGGTCCATCTTTGGATTGCTTTCCAAGTTCAATCGAAAGTGGGTGGGACAAAACATGCTGGGCAGTCTAGAGTGTCGGGCGTCCTCCTTTGGCCGACGACAAGAATTTGAGGTAAGAATACATACATAATGAAGGGATGATATGCATGCATGCATGAATGAAATGAATCGCTCATATTATGTAATTTGTCTCTTCCACACCAAAGACGGAAAAGGAATGGAAGGCCACTCCTCTGCTCTGTGCTTCGGCTGGGTGGGGAGCTGGAAGCTATGTCGTCGTCAGCGAAAAGGATCATGTCGTCAATATTGCTCCAACGGGATCGGTCACCGGCAGAGTGGCAGATCTTTGGTGCTTTCGAGAGATCCATTAAATATTGATCTGCTGCGAGCATTCCGTTGCTCTGTTTTTTGTTGTTGCTACGATAGACTGTCCCATCAATCAATCAAACAATCAGCTTGTAACGACTACCGTATAGTTCCTATCTTTTGTTCCGTCCTCTCTCTTGTTTCTGACGGATCGTTCCTCGGTCCAGTACATGCGCCCCTTCTTGGGGTGGGTCGAGAACCATTTTTTTATTTGAATCGACTTTAACAGCTATTGCACACGATGAAAAAAGGCCGTCGATGTCCCTCCCACTACCTGACACGTTCCATCCATGGTTTCCAACACTGGTAGTGATGGAATGGCATATTCGGTGGTAACAATGAGTGTTCCCGAGGCACACTGTTGTGCGACGGCTTGTCCCAATTGCTCCAAAATGGTACCCGACATGCAACTGGAAAAGACAAAAATGAGATTGGAATCTCCAAAATGGACATGTTCAAAGGAACCACACAACAATTCCATATCCGCCATGGGTATGGAGTGGGGTGGTAATCTGTAATTATTGGTGGTGGTGGCTGTTGTTGTTGCAGTCGTTGTAGTGGTGGTTATTGGAGTGGCTGATGCGACTGCCAATTGTCGATATTGAGCCTCGTATTTGCTCACCCAAGAATCTTCCTGCTGCTGGTGTGCGGACTGAGTTTGTACATTGTTATTGTTGGAAGATGCTGGTGGAGTCTGTGATGGCAGAACATCATTATTTTCATCCCTGGATACCTTGACTTTCTCCAACGTCTCTTCCGCTACCTTGTGAATACTCTCCAACAATTCAATGCCCCGACAAACTTGGAATCGATCGGGGAACAATGCCGCGGCTGCCATTACGAGCCGTCCTGCTCCACTTCCAATATCGCAAAAAACCAATTTGTCGTCAGTACTATCAGTATTGTCGTATAATTCCATCATGCGTTCCAGGATGCGTCGAAAAAACTCGATATCGAATTCTCCATAGGTCGTCTCCAACGGTACATCCTTGCCCTCTTTGATGTACGCCCAATAGCCATCGGCGCGACTAGCAGCATTGCGTTGTTCCAAATCTTGAGGAGGATACAACAGATCCAAGCCTTCCATGACTTGATCAAATGATACAGCAGGATGATGAATGCATGATGGTTTCTTGTTGCGTCTCATGCTCAGTACAGAGAAGGAGTCTCCCTTGGATAATAGCAGTAAGGCGAAGAGTAGTTGGAGGCGCCCCATTATCGTTCTTGTTGTATTGGTTGCTTCAGTATGATACACTTGTACGGTGGTACCGGTTGTCCTTGCTTTTTGTAGCGTTCTTGTCCTTGATGGCTGTTTGGACAAAAAAACGTCAGAACCTCTATTTTAATAAATTGATGCCATGCACGAATGAGATGACATCCCTTCACAGCCAACCATTTCCCCTCCTTTCTTTTTTCTTCTCTCCCCCCTTCTTGGCTGCTCCTCTCTTTTTCTCATTTCAGTTTCAACAAAATACAAAATTCATTTTCCACCATGAGATTACTGACGCACAATACGCTGCGCAACAACACGGCCGATGCCAAGGGAAAGGGATTTCCACTCAAGATTACTGCCACTGAAATTCGCGTCGAAGAAACGGCGCCCACAATGGAGGTGGATCGGCAAGTAGCCTTTTGTAAGAACATGCTGTCGCGATTGGATTGGCCTGCATTGGTACAAGCCAGTCGGGACATGGGCATTCCCACCTTGCCTCCCGTCTTGACGGACGAAATGGCCCACGACACGGCATTTCTACAAGCTCTCTACAAGATTCTCATGCAGGTGCATTTGGAACAAGGCATGTTGACGTGTCCCGTCACGGGACGAGAATTTCCCGTTACCAACGGCATTCCCAACATGTTGCTGGAAGAAGAAGAATGTGAACATGTGAAGTTGTGAATTTGATTTGAACAACAACGAAAGAGAAGCAAACAATCTAAAGGAGCCACAAGAATGGGAAGTTGCATTGAACCAAAGCAAATTTTGAATATTACTACGCAAGAAGCACACGAATGTTGACAATTAGCAGCAATAGCCAAAACTAGACTGCTTTAGCAAGAAAAAGACAGCAAGCGACAAACAATGGAGTTTTCCTTGACAGCAAGAGATGGCGACAAGGCAAAAATCAGGAGCATTCAATGTCTATTTGAATTTTGGTACACAGCAAACTCGAGCCCTAGAAAATTTGGCGTGTTCCGAAGCTGCCAAAAGCTACAGAAAAAAATCCCAACCGCCTCAAAGAAACATAATAACAAGTCAATGCCCCTTATAATTCAATGAGTGTGACTTTTTGTAGTCGATAGTCCCAGGAAGAAGAATCTTCCTCCACCAGTCTCCACCGCAGACAAGTTTTGTCTTCCAGTAGACCTTCCAGCCAATCGCGGACATGGGACAGTAGCTGGGGCCTTTCTTTCAACTCCTTGGCTTTGAGTCCACCTGCAAGATTGCGCATCCCCTTGGCATCGGCATGGATTCGTAATACACGAGTATGATGTGTCTGGACCACAACAATTCGGACAATGGCCTCCCGATAATCCTGTCCATTCTGAAAGTGCGTCAAAAGCGACAAGAGTTTCATGGGACTTGGTAGGCTTGATTTATTGTTGTCGTTGGGAAGCTCCATACCCATGTCGGGAAATTCAATCGCCTCGATGTGACCTTCCACAACAGTGATCGATTTCGTTTGTTGTCGTTCCTTGACACTCAGTTCTGGTTGTTGTGTGGGTACCGAAACATCTTGGGTTTGAGTAGTAGAAGCGTGTTGTTGGTGCTGTGTCTGTGTCATTTGTGGCTCTGTTCTCGGGAATGCCTTTTGGGACAAGAGAACAAGGTCTGTTTTGGACGTTGGCACCAGCACCTTGACGTCTTCCAAGGCTTTCTGCTGCTCGTCACTCAGCACATCTCGGCCTTTGCGACACACGACACTATGGAGTAGAACGGGATTGCCTCTTTCCAGTGCCTTTTGGAGTTTGGCCTGCAAGCCGTAATGACTGCGGAGAAGAAGCAATGGCATGACAGTGTGGCATCCATCCGAGACCGTTGCAACCGTGATCTTGGTCGGTGGCGGCGACGAAAGGCGTCGCTTCTTGTTGGGACTAGACGTGTCCAGGAGAGTTTCCACGCGGACAATTTTTCGGACCATGACATGACTCACAATCCCCAGAGATGATTGCATTTCCTCGAGAGATCGTCTCTGACATGGCAAGGGAGAAAGTTGTTGATGATCTGAATGGTGGTTCTCTCGAAAGAACTTTGACTGACGGTACCAGCGCAACAGTTGCTGTATTTGATTTGTGCTAGTCTCCATGCCTTGAGGGATTCTGCTACTTCCTTGTCGTGACAGAATGCCATTTGATTTCGATGTGACTCTCCCAAGTTCCCACCATTCCACTCCGCCAATGGGAGGATATTCCCAGGAATGAAGGAATTCATAGGTCCTGCTGGAGTTGGAGGATGCTGTTTGTTCCATCATTCGTCGAAGCTTGACTCCATTAAAGCGGACCATCGATCCCACCCGCAACTTTTTCTCTTGAATGGCAAGGACAGCATTGTTCCCGTAGAACGACACCAAGGCATGATTTCGTTTCCCCAGAGTCTCGTCGACAACCCAGACTTCTCCCACAGGAGACCGACTGGTCCGAGTGGAGAGACGGACTACCACAGCTAGCAGATCCACGGAACGAGTTGTCGTCGTGTAGGTCGTCTCTGTGCCTTGATGGACTTCTTTGCGGATTCCCTTTCCACTACTTGGACCGAGCAACGAAATGGCCTGCTGGAGGGTGCAGGGGTTCTTGCCGCTACCGAGGTGGTTCATGGCTGGTGTTGGTGTTGTCGGCTGTCCTTGGCCTCCATCATCGTGTCAGCCCAGCCATGCTCGTTGCTTGTCGTTGGCTGTTGATCCTTTCTTGGCTTTGGATAAGCTCTAACCTTACCTATAAGCCGGCAGCGTTACTGGAATGAACTCTTTCCTTTAAAAGACTTAACAACGGTGCCACTCGCCTACTGACGTCAGAGTCATCAGAATTCGAACCAAAACACATCTGATGGGGCGTTGATCTGATCCAGATCTTCTCATCTTCCTCTCCCGAGAAACGAGAAACGTTTGTTTGCTTTGGCACAACAATTGAGGTGCCCAAGCTCGAGACGATGAGACTGATGAGTTTGATGATGACAATGAAGTCACTACCTCTGCTGTCGTTGGTGCTGGTATGTGCACCGGAAGCTTCTGGCTTTCAGCCATTGTCGTTCTTTCTTAGCAGCACTCAAGATGCCGTGACAAAAACCAGTGGCAATAGTCCTCCCACTCGTTTGGAGTCAAAAACCTTGGACATGGAAAGGACTTCTGTGATGACTCCTCGCCCTCCGAAATCGGTTCCACCCGTTCCACAAGAACTCTTCATGAAGGAACTCTCTCTCGATGATTATGATGAGCCAGCGACAGACAGTTCCACTACTGGTAGTACTGCTACAAAAAGCATGAAGGAACAGCACGACCAATTGGTAGAGGACATGTGGGCCACCGAACAGGTGCTTCAGGTTCTTCGAGCCAACGTGACCGAGTTGGAAGGAGTGCTGGAGACCAAACAAGCCCAAGTGGACACGAACGACGGATTGCAAGACTTGCGACGCATGGTGGAACAATCCCAAGCCGAGTGGGAGGCCTTGCAGAGCGAGACGAAAGAACGAGAACGCAGTGAAAATGATATACTTAGTGAGTACCAAGACAAACAGACGGAATTGGAAGAACAGGTCTCTGTCTTGCAGGAACAACTCGTCGAAACCCAAATGAAGATTCGTTCCGAACAAGACACGTACTTACAACTCACACAGCGCATTGCCGAGGTGGATGGCACTCAAGATTGGGAAAGCACAGAATTCCAACAAGAACAAGAAAAAATGCAGTCAGACTTTCTAGACAAAAAAGCGCAATTGGAACAGATTCAAGCCGAATTTGACGCTCAAGAAACCGAATTGACGCAAGCCAATGCCCAAATCCGAGCGCAACTCGAAACACTCCAAGAACAAGCAGAACAAGACGAATCTCAATTGGCGGCTCTCCAAGAGAATCACAAGGCACAGCGAAACGAATTGCAAGCCGCCATTCAACAACAAGAAACCATGGTAGCACAAGCGCAAGACAATATCGTCAAGGCACAAAATGACACTCAACAAGACTTGCAACAATTGAAACTGGAACTCGCTCAAGTCGAATCCCAGCAAGAGGAACTACAAGAAACATTGCGCACTACCTCCCTCGATCATCTCATTCAAGAATCCAAATGGCAAGGCATGCTAGCCAGAACCAATAAGGCCGTCCAAAAACTCAACTCCACACTCGTACGAGATACCTCCCGGCACAGTTGGGAACGAGAATACTTGCTAGATCGACTCCAAGCCGAAACCAAACAATGGCAACTCGTCCACGATCAGTTGCAAAAGGAACGCCTCCAACACGACAAAGAACGACAATCCTCATGGCAACCACAATGGGATCAAACCGCACAACGACAACAAACTGCAGCCTCATTTATGAAAAACCGCTACGCCCAACTCCGGTCGACCTTTCGACAACGATGGAGGACCGCCAAACAAGAAGGACGACGCATGGAAGAGTCCCTGACGGAACAATACGAACGCAATCTGCAAGACATGAATACGACATTGGCGCTACTCCAAGAAACTGTGACATTGGCGGGACAGTCACGACGAACGTTGCAACTAGCGGCCGAACAGGAAACCCTCGATGCCAAACAATTGTGGGAACATCATTCCACCATGGGGAATCGCATGACCAACAATCTCCAACAGGCACAACTCGAAGCGGAATATCTGGAGCAAGATCAAAAGGAATTGTCACGTGTCTTGCAACAAACCGAAGAGGATATTGTCCAAATGGAATCGTCCTTGCGACAAATCTTGCGAGCTACGTGGAGATTGACGCGACAACGCGTGCGGAATCGACGACGACGCATCGTCGATCGCATCTTGCGACGACAAAAGGAGTAGAAAAGGCACGACGATAGATGACGATTTTGTTTGGCTCCATCCAAAAATCACTCAAGATCTCGTGTGCACCTACGCTGGTCTTGGCCGTGATATCAATCAAAGGATCAGCGCCAATTTTGGTGGTTCATCAATGTGTATGTTTACCAGTGGGCTACTACCAAGAACCAAGTAACTGCCAAACCATGGTCAAGGCTCAATGGGTTGGAAAAAACGACTTTCAGTACTTTCTCAATTGAGGGATGAAAACTTCGGTCAGATGGAGATGCAAACCAAACTATTGCAGTATGATATTCTGAAAATCTTTTTCGGCGGGTAATCTGTTTAGTTTAGTTTTGATTATTGTATCTTTTGATAGTGTAGATTCAATGGACACGATAGGAACCAGTGCCGAAAGTACGAGAGAGGACTTCTGGATGAAACACCACCAATGCCGCTAGTCCAACAGGCCTACGATTCCTTCTTCTTTTCACCCGACAAGACTGCATTCATCAAATCATGAGCATCCTTTTCAATGCTCTCGTTGTTGGGAAAATACTGAACCGATGCCGCCACCACCATGAGCGCCTTGCTCTTGATCACTGACGCTTCTTCACGGCCACCGGCACGGCACAGATTGTTCAACAACCAACACCCATGTTCTTGTACCATTTCTTCTTCCGGAAACGTCTTCATGGCGTTTGTCACCAGCGGAACTCCTTCCAAGTTGAGAACAAAGTGCTTGGCAACATCGGCAATGGGTAATTCGACACGTTCGTCTTCGCTTTTGTCGTTGCCCGAGCACAAATTGGCCAATGCAGACATGCCATTCGCCTGGACGGCTGCCGAATTCGAAAAGCCAACCATGGCACGGTAAATCTCGTGAAGACCGCCCATTTTGAGAAACGACGCAATGAGAGTGTTGTTACTGTCCTTGTGCCACAATGCATCACCAAGAACCATGCGTGCTACGCAATGTGCCAGCTCCGACTGAATGGTGGCAACCTTTGTCCACTTGCGCATCGTGTGCAACAACGTGCTGTGCCCACCCAATGCCAAAAAGTCTTCATGAACTTGTTCCTGCATCGGATGCTGAACGCTCAGCAAGTCACCAATGGCGCGGGCGGCAAACGCAACAGTACCAGGATTGTCGCTCTGCAGGTCTTCAAACAAGAGCTTTGGCAAGCCTTCCTCGTACTCCATGGCCTTGACCTTGCCGTCATCGTCGGCGCATGATTCATTACTTTGCACCACATACTCAGGAATGTCCACGCTTTCTTCGTGGAGCGAGTCTGTATCGACTGAAGGTCCCAACTTTGCGGGAGAAAACGTTACCGACAGAGCATCGTCAGGGCGGCAGTCATCGACCGTGCTGCGGAATCGCTTGGCCATGTTGACGAGACTTTCCGGAATGCGCTTTACCATGGTTGAATCTAAAGAAGTAGAGTATTGCTGCGGGCTTCCGAAAGTACAGTACGTTGATGGAAAGAATGAGTCCAACCGAGTGATGGTTTGGGGATCGCTGACTGTCCTTCTCGCGAAATTCCAAAACGAAAAGTAACGGACTTCATCACTCATTCCGTCCAAACACTGCACCCACACGCAACGTGTCGTGATTGCTTGGTGCAGATAGTCGACAGATAAAAAGAACGATACGATTGAAACGCTTTATGTTCTACGGTACACTGCTCATCCGTTGGGAGGCGGAGAAAGGAGGAGAGGAAGAGGACTGAAAGGTGTTCAGCGGTTCTTCAGCGTGGAAGTTGAGCGTCTCAACATCAAAACGAAAAGCTCGGTGGCCGCAAGTCCGCACCTCCAGGGCAGCAAACATCGGAGGGAGCATTGAAGAAACCACAGCTCGTTGGAAACTAACCTCCCTATTATAGACCCCCTTGTCTTGTTGAAGTCAACATAGTTTGATGTATAGTTTTGTAGATTATTGGTCACCACCTCAAGACAATCATACGGTACGGGTGGCAAAAAGTAAGTGTTGGAGCTCAGATTGAGGCTCATTTCTAAAGCTATTTATATCGTAAATTTATTCTCGTTAGCAGGAGATCAGCCCTCTCGATAGCTCAGTTGGTAGAGCGATTGACTGTAGAGGAATACAATTGATATCAATCGGTCGCTGGTTCGATTCCGGCTCGAGAGACTTTTGCCTGTCTGGATGTGTTTTGGCCATCTACTAGAGGGATCCCTTTTAATCTGGAGTTAGGTCCAGTCAATGATATACGTCCAGTTACATTCGTTCAAGTTGCATGTGTATGTTTTTGTGGCTTCATTCAGCAACAGATTGAGGGCTGCACGACAATCCATTTGTCCCATGAACCCAGGTCTGGCAAGACAAACCCATTTGCTCAATCGCAATAACACCAGACGGAAGGCATGTGTTTGAGGAAAACATAGAAATGAGACATAATAATCATCTTGTCTATAATGCTACTAGCTCAGTCTCTGCCTACGGTATGTCGGAGGCTTTTATCGACTAAAGAAGAAGAGAAGACAGAACAAACGGGCCAAACCCGAAGTGACGTGACATACAGTGACCACGACATCACTGCCGTCAAAGAATATCCTCCAAACACCACCCGCCTTCCTCCTAGTATCTTCTTCTCTCCTGCTTTCTTGTTTCGGAACAGCAACCACAACAGTTCACACTCGTTTGCCATTACGATCAATAAAGATTCGACGGGTTTGAATTTCGCGATGTTGCGACTCTGTCGTGGGTGTTGGATTGTGCCCTTCATCATTGGTATTTTGGTCGATGGTTTCGTCTTGAAAATGGCCATGTTTCGAGTCTGTTCCCGGTTGCTGCGGGCGGTGAATACAGTTCCTGTTCCTGTGCTTCCCCTTTTAAATGCCCCCCGAGAAGCGTATGCTTCGATAAGATTTTTGCAAGCGGGATCCCAAATGAAATGTAGCCCTTTGTCTTATCGGTGTTCTTCCCTCCCTTCATCCTGCGGGTTCTGCAAACAGTGGTGCATGGCAATGGGAGTTCCTGAAGTGGTAACCAAGTAGAGCGCGCCACAATCCACGCCATAAGTCAGGCTTGTACTACCATAAGAGACAGATTCCCCAGAGTCGGCATTCGATGAAATTCCGATATCGCCTTTCTTAGACATTTTCCCTTTTACGCTGCTTCCAATCGCCACAACCCCGTTCGCTCCACGGCGCTTTGCGCCACAAACGACAACTTCAATGCCTTCTTGTGGGGGAGTAGGGTTCGCATCAGGCTCGGGCAAGCGCAGAATCGTGGAAAGCCCAGACATATGCATAGGGGAAACCATGAGGAGGTCCACCCTTTGTCCACCCGTTGCAAAACATGAGGATGATGAATCTGGAAGATCAGAGAATCCGTTGGAACGTCCTTAGATACTACCTGGCCAATGTCAATTGTTGGATAATTACCCTCCTCGTCCGCTTGGCTTTCAGCAAAAATCTCCAAGTTGTCGCCAACGTCCGCCAGATGGCCCGCGGTGAGACCGCATATTTTACCGTCCTTCTCAAACAGAAAACTGATGGTGCAGGCACTCCCATCGGTATCCAATACAAAGTCTCCACCGCACAAGTTCCCATCCTGGAGACTCCTGACCTTCTTTAGACCAACACGAGCGGTCGTGTCAATGGCTGCCGAGTTTGTTTCATCTTCAGCATCCTGTTTCTTCTCTTCTTTCGTCACCAATTCGTCCTTATCTTCATGATCCTTAAGCTCACCTCGGCGCGCTTTCTTGGTGACTGGGGGCTGCTCATCGTCGTTGGAATTATTATTGTTCATGGCTACGTACCAGTCGCTCTACTCTTCGCTTTTGCGATTACCAGGTATTCCACGCATTGTGTCGCGAGACGTTTCGATGTGCAATTTGCACGCGCAATGTGGCCCCAATGGACCGTTAGCCATGCAGACGTGTGTTCAGCGTGGGAACGACCAGCGGATTTTTTTAATAATTGAAGTGTGGTTTGCAATCAAGAGGAGTCCTCCGATGGGTGTTTTGTCAGCGAAAGGGACCCTTTTAGCAGGTATCGCTCGTGTGGTCAACGACCCAATGCGGTATGTTGGATTTGGCCATTGTCGCCGTTGAAGAGTACTAGTTTAAGGGTAGTGTTGAGCCACGAAAAATTTACACTTTTTCTGAACAACAGAAAACGAGTCGACCATGACGCTGCCGACAGCATTTCGGAGATGAAGAAACTAGAAAACCCTCCAAAGTAATGATCGGAGTTAGTAGTAACACCACTATAGATGAGGGGATAACAAGTCAATTGGGTGTATACCCTTTCTGAATAGTCGAAATCGTCCATTATTGCTAGCATCGTGTTGTTGTTAGATTTCGCAACGGCCTGCTGTTGTAAAGTGTGGTTGTTGCTGTTGTCTCCAACAAACCGGATCAACACCCTTGCAATCGCTTCCGTACCATGTCTGAGCACGTATACAACCTCAACAAGCTGATAGAGCAGGCCTCTGGTATCGTTGCAGTGTCAGACGGCAAGGTAAAGGTGCCACAGGCAATGTCGCTTGTTGGCATCAGAACTCCTGACAGGAAGAACATGACGCTGTATCAGAGATGCCGACGGAGAGCCATAAAGCTGCAGAAGGAAGCCGCCAAAGCAACACCACCATCTCGAATAGTGCAGATTGTTGCTACCAGTTCTTCTGATGTGTCCACAGTCACAGGTCCCAGTGACAGTGCTTCCAGACAAACAGTCCGCTCTTCTTTGGAGGCAACAGAAGCAGAGCGACTTGATGCAGCCAGGAGCATTGCCTCTTTATCTGCTGATGTAACAATGAAGACAGAAGAATATAGAAGAACAGCCAAAGAAGTGATGAGGGCGCACTCTGCATCAGCATCTCTGACAAAGCGAGACAAAACAGCAATGAAACTTATCACCAAACAGATCGTGAAGAGCAAAGGATTGCCAAAGGGTCACAAAGAAAAGAAGAGTATTCCAGCCATTGTCTTTGAAACAAATGCCCGCCTCAATGCTAATGTCAATTCGAAAACAGCAGCTCGGTACGTCCGACAAGGGCTTATTGGAGTGTCGCCTTTGAAGAGAGGGCCTGTCGGAGACTTTCCTCCAAGGATTTACAAAGCACTGCAGGGGGCATATTGTTGGAGGTTGTATTACAGACACCTCAATACAAATTAGTCGTTTATCCCAATCTAGTTTAGCGGGGATATCTATATCTATTCTCTAGTTACATACATGGGGAGTTTAACTGATCTATATGGTCACCCCCTTCACTATATCCTTTGAAGTTGAATCAATCCCAGAAAACATGGAGAAAGATCACTTCTTGGAAATAGCTTAACTGTAAAACAGTATTTTACCTTTACTAAGCTAGAGTGTTACTAGCAACCAACACTATTTCCAAGAAGCTCTACCTTCATCTCGAATTCGAGATCTCGCCCATGGGATATCGGCATCCTATTACATGATATTGTTAGCGTTTTTGGATCGATACATAGACAGCCTGCAGGCTTATAGCTAAGGTGGCTCACCGCCATTCAATAATAGACTCACTCTTTAAAACCAACACAATGGCGCTTCTCGCTTATTAGGTTATTGAGCCCAACTACAATTACACAACCAATCCTTCCTCTACTACTAACCGCATCGACAGGAGCTTCCATAGCTAACGGCGGCGCTTCCACCGGCGGCCTGCAGCCGGAGAACGACGCTGATTGAAGCACGTCAATTGCCACTTGCTGCTTCCACGCTGGATCGCCGAAAATTTCGACAATGAAGATTCCAACTCCGGAGTCTAGCGCTTCAGTCGGCGACCTGCTACAGCTCGACCATGACGATGCAACCCCAACCGAAGCAGTCAACCCGTTCGACGCCTTCGCCTTCGCCTTCGATCCTTTCTCGGTGAACAACAACAACAACAACAACAACGCCGACCA